TTCTCCTTATAGTATAAAGAGAGGGTGTAACTCTTATTATTTTTCATAATGAAATTCTTCTATCTTGTCCATGGTTTTTTCCCTTAATTTTTTTAAAGGTTTTCACGTAAAATCCGTGTATTCAATTTCTTATTTATTTCTCAAATTTATTAGTCGCAACTCTGCTCTATTCGGTCAATAGCACAACACTTAATTCCCTCCTACTTAAAGTTATTTTTATAAATTTTCTCAAGGATTGTTAACACCATCATTGTTCAATAATATGATACGAAATTAATTAAAGTACTTTGATTCTTTGCTTTATCATAATGTGCTAAATAATCTCGTAATTTTTCATAACCTATCGATTAGATTTCGTAAGTACGTACCGTCACTCGTCTTAGATATCGTCCAAGCTTTCCCCCTTGTTTGGATAGGATAGAAAGTGGGGAAGAGGAAAGAAAATGGGAAAGAAAAGAAATATTTCTGCTGTTTGGGAAGTGGAAAGAAAGCGAGTGGAAAGAAAAAAATAATAATAAACAATACAAAAATGGTGGGACCCATTTTCTTCCCAAAATTGGGAGGAAACGTGAAGAAAAAGATGAGAGAAATCATTTTTTTTTGTTTTCGCATTTTTGCCCTTGCAGCCGTCCTCCTCATTTCTTCTCCACATAAACAGATCTACGTAACGGATCTCCATCATCCCGAATAATGGAAGCAAAAGTTCCCGAATAATTTCGACCAAAGTGTAGCATTAGTCTTGCTAAGTGTTTCGCCTCATCATTTACGGGAAATAAGTGATGAAGACCGTTGGTCATTGTTTTCGTAACATGCTTTTGGCGATCAAAATTTCAATTTAATTTCACAGTTTGAAGAAATGTTTCGTCCGTAAATAGTGAGAAGGTGCAAAGGATTGCCTTTAGCTACGAGATCACTTGGGAGTCTCTTGAAATCGAAACGGATGTTGAGAAGTGGAAGAAAATATTGAAGAGCGATCCGTGGGATTTGCGAAATGACCAAATTCTTCCCGCTTTGCGAGTGAGCTATTATTATTTGCCATCACATTCAACATGAGTTGGCAAAATTTGTGTCCGGAGAGTTTTTCATAGACGTGGCTTATAGCAATTCATGTTGTAAGTTTTCTAGCAAAACTCGTCATGTATCATATTCAACAACTAGCAACATAGAGAATCTTAAGGGCATTGCTTGAACTTAAAAATTTACGCACCTTTTTATTCCCAAAAGCTCCACAAAAGAAGCTTGGTGAAACGAGCAGTGAGTAGATGGGCAACTAACAAGACAATCCGTGCTTCCTTATTTTCAAAATTCAAGCAAGACAATATACTTTTATTTTTTTAATTGCTAAATAATAATTTTTAATAAAAAACAAAAGTGGAGAAAATGATGGGTAAAAACAACGAACTTATTATATACATAGATAATAATACATGTTATACATATTTAAATTAATTTTATGTTGATAATTAATTTAAATTGGCTATTAAATTAATTAATTAATAAACGAGTTATCGATTATTATATGGAGACGATTCATTATCTATCTTATCATTTTAGATAGATGCTACATGCTAGATTTTTATTTTATTATCATTTGTGTTATTTTTATGAAAAAAATATTCATACAAATTTATTATAAGTATTTAAATATATAAATATAATCATATGGGTATTATAGTAAATATATAATAATACATTTTTTTCCTTCCTGTTTTTACAATTATCCAAACAAGTGAAATATATTTTCTTTCCTTTCTTTTCCACTCTTATCCAAACAATAAGTAGAAAATGATTTTCTTTCCTTCCTTTTTTTTTTCTCACTTTTTTTCTCTCTTTTCTTTCCTCCCAAGAGGAATTATCCAAACATAGGGTTCATTTTGAGATGTTTCAAAACTACTGTAATTACTTATCAAAAAGTCAAACTATTAATTATTTGGTTTTACTATTATATTTTTTTATTATAAATTACTTTAATTCTTTCAGTCCAATTCTTTATCTTATTTATGAAAGGTAATAATATAAATTAATCTAAAAATAAATGGCGTAGCATGTAATAATTGTACTTTCTAATATATGTGAAAAGCTTGAGGATGGAGGAAGTAATAATTTAGTTGCAACAAATCAAGTTGACCTTTTTATTGGCATTTTCACTTGAGTATGCAATGCTCAAAGCTTTTATATATATCACTTAATATGTACTCATACAATGGAGTAATTCTCTTGTCGATCTACTCTTATATCTTTAATTAAATCTTTTTAATCATGGATTAATTCGTCATTCCATCCATTTTTCAGTACTTGCTGTATTATTCAAGTTTGGCCTTAAAGAAACAGGGGGAAAAAAAATCTGTCATGTTTTAGCAAAAACCACCGGGGGGGGGGGGGGGGGGGGGTGGGTGGGGGAAGATTAGGATAAATTTCAAATTTTCTCCTGAGATTTATATCTTGTCTTAATTTTACATAAAACTTTTGATTTGTTTCTAATTTCCCCCTCCGTCCGTTATCATCAGGTGCATAAATTTCAATTTTATCCTTAAAATTTATAATATTTATCAATATTATTTGAAAAAAATAATTAAAATTAACAAAAATAAAAACAAAAAGTCAATATATATAAAACTTGAGAGGTTTAGGTTTCAAGAAATCTCAAATCTTACCCATTTTAATTCTCACTTAACAATGTCATCTTTTTTTTGTTTTTTGTTTTTTGTCGATACTATAGTAAAATAAAATTCAAAATTCAACTCTCTCTTGGATTGTTTTATTTTATTCTATTTCTGTCAAAATCTTCACCATTCTAACCCCTCTCATCTATCAAGTCTCATACTTTCTTTGATTGTTGTCGTCCAATAAAACTTTTGATATGCGCAAATAATGGCGCTTTAGGTGCTTTTAAAATTATTATATATTCAAACTAACGTTTCATTCATATGGGATAGTAATCAAGATTTTAATGAAAAAAATTGAATAAAAATGATAGATATATGCTAGTGAGTGAGTGCATGACAATATATATATTTTTTATCATATTTATTTTTAGTTTAATTTTATTCTTGTATTGTCAAATGATTGCTTGATAGCGTGATGAAAAAAATATACTTTTTTTATTTGTTTTATTGAAAAAAATATCTTTCAACATAATACAAATTATTTTCTATAAATATTTTTTTAACATTAAAGAACCAATTTATTTGAAATAAAATAATTAAAATAATATTTTAAAGTAATCAATTAATTATTCAAATACAATTTTTATGCTAATATTATTGATTATTTTGTGTGTGTGTGTGTGTGTGTGTGTGTGTATACACACACACACAAAAAATGCATATATATACATAGATCAAATGCATATACTTTAAAAAAAAAAATCTTCTCATCAACATTAAATAAGAATAAAATTTTATTAAGTCCGTACATTAATTATAATTTTATTTTTGGGATACATTCTTATAAAAAATATATATTTTAAAAGTATTTATTTTTAAATTCTTAATTAATATTTCAGGTTTAAATTATTGCGAGTTTTTATTTAAGAATCCATGAATAAAGAAGAATAAATCTTGTTTTTTTAAGCAAAAATTTTATGAAAAACAGAAAAAATATAATAATTAAATAAAAAAATTATAAAATTTTAAAACGATTTTGCTCTATTTACTTGTAACGTTGCACGGATAATTTTAAAAATTAATCTTCTTATTAGCATTAAATAAGAATAATTTTTTTTCATTTGTTAATTTTTATAAAAGTCTGTCCATTAATTATAACCTTATTTTTAAAATTAAAATATTATGAAAAATATATTTTTAAAGTTTTTAAATTATTGATTAATATTTTAGTTAAAATTATTACAAGTTTTTATGTTAAAATCAATCCATACAAAAGAACGAATTGTTTTTTTTTTTTTTTTTTAAGTAGAGAATTTATGAAAAATATTAGGACAAGTTAATTAAATAAAAAATTTTAAAATAATTTTATGTTGTCAAACTCGTAACATAGTGCGAATAACCACCTAGTAATAACTATTTACGCACAGAATATCTAATAATCTCTCATTTTTATGTTTAATCTGTCTACTTAATTGGACTTTAGCTTAGCTGTACAATCCATTCCCTGTTGGGCCTGTTTTAGCTTTACGTGTGGGGCTTATGATAGTAATCAAATTAAGCCGAGACCTGCCTCCTCAATCGCATAGAAGTGGAACTGATCGATCCGTCATCTCCTTCACTATCCCATAAATACAGCCGAGCAATGGAGTCGCAACACAATTTGCGATCATAATAAATAAATTAATACCTCATAATCTCCCGACACCGGGTTGGTATAATAGTAGTTGAGGTCTTTGTAAACTGCTAAGAGTTCAAATCTCATCTACTGCATGCAGCATGCGGTTGATGGCATATTTACATTTTCAAGCAGCCATTGCCATTTGCCGCAACATGCAGTTTTAAATTGATTCTCACTCTTTCATAATCTGATCACAATGAATTGATCCAATGGTACCTCATAGTTTCTTGGTAGGGTTCTCGTTCATGGATTGTCTGGGTCCAGTCTACTGGGCTGTCAAACATAAAACATGACAGTGCTGATCAAAGTTTAGGATGCTCACATTAGTGATTACTTTATGACGTACATAGAAAATGTATCAAGATAATGTTGTAAGCACGATGCAGTACATAGAAACTTTAGCTTATAGTAGAAGTGAATGGTTCGGTTGCAAGATCCTAACTGTTGCAACCACAAGAAGGCATTTATGAAACTAATCTGTCATTCCCTGATTGACAGCTCAATAATAGCGAGAAGGAAAATTAAAGAGTGAATATTCCTAGAATGCTAGATTGCACTACACTGCTGACTGGTGAGACATGTATTTGACTGCTTGACAATCTAGCAAGGCATGACAACTCACCACACGATGTAAATAGCTCCTTTCACGCACCAACATTCTGAATGCACAACGTTGATTACAATACAAGAACCAGAGAGGGCAGCACCTCGTTTGGTCATGATGTGAGCAGGGCGTCAGAACCACACCATTCCTGCAATGTTGGGGTCACAACTCCTATATTTTTCATGTCAAAAATATTGGCTGATTCAAAAAACGGGGATCCATGTCAGTCATGACTCATGAGTGCCAATTTGTGAAAGCAATAAAAAATGAACATATAACAAATAGCCAAATGATAAAAATAGCAAGAAAATAATGTCCACGTCGTAAAAACAGAGAGTTAACGATGAACATTTTCTCGTGTCAATTGCCTTTCACTGCTGTCAACACTTGGAGAGGAAAGGCAGTAAAATATAGTTTAGTGATCTACCCAACTTTCTCCATTGCAGGATGTTTATAAGCTAGCAAGACAGGGAGTTAGAAAGTTTTTTTTTTTTATCTAGTCTATAGCTGAGAGATCAATGATGCTGCAAATATCATCAAAGGGAAGCCTCAGCAAAAAGATAACAGCATTGTGATGATTGTTATATAAAGTGGCACATCGTTCAAAAATATTTTGAGCCAGATATGAAATTTTTTGTCCTGTATCATTAAAAGTCTCTAATACTGCAAACAAATATATCCATTGACTTGGACTCTCTCTAGTGCACCACAAATTCTTATAAACCCTAAAATTTCAGGCCAAATATTTTCATTTTTTCATCCAATAAGCTCAAGGCATTACATCAGAGCTTCATTGGTACATTTTTACTTCCAAATCCTTTTAGCATCGCAAAGGACCAGAGGATCTGAAATGAAAAAAAAAAAAATCCCTTGTCATCCTTGATCTTAAAATATCATGGCGATAGAAGTCCGTAAACCACGAATCCTACAACTCTTACCCTGATAACAATCATCTACAGTCTTTCCCTATGTTTTCTCATCTATCCATCTTGTTTATCACGTCGTGAAAAGGTACTGCTAATATTTGTTTCTTTTTCACATGAACTTGTTGAGATTCATTTTTAATGATCAGATTTATTGCACTAGCTATATACTATTTAGTTGGTTGGCATATGCATTCATAAATGTCAATGTGTCATTCCTGCACATTAAAGTATTTAAATTCACCCAGCTTACATTTCTTATTACTAAATGATAAATTCATAGATCCCGATTCACAGAAATTAAAATTCACCCAAAATCAGATCTAAGTTCAGCAATTGAGAAAAAGAAGCCTGATAAAATATTTGTTTGCCTATTACCCCCACACAGTTACCAAACCCCAAGAACCAGAACAAAAGTATCTGAGGATCGAGATACTTAATGCCTTCAAATGCATTCTTAGTTTTGGACAAAAAATTTGACAAAACAAACAGCATGCTCGAGGAGCAATGCACAGTACAGTTCCTAATGCAGTAGATACTATTAAAATATAAATGAAAACCCCACCGAACTTCAGGAAATCAGAAATTTATTATCATATCCATAGTTTCAAAAACAATGGAGAGCCAACTTGTGTATGGTAATTTAATTATTGGACATATAAAACAATCTCACAAGTTGCAAGTTGCACAAAGTTTAGCAAAGTTGATTATATACAAAAGAAACCAAAATTAATTATGTATGCTTTAATAAGCTTTCTGATTATAAGGTTCTCCTTTTCCCTTTCTTTTTCGTTTTCACTGTCCTTTTTTTGCCCTCTCAAGGTTGTTCCAATCATTTATCAACATGGTATTCAAATTCTTGAAAAGATTCATCAGAAAGCATAAAAAATCAATAAAAGTTAGTACCAGTTTCAGGCAATCAACGAATACATACCAACATGTATGTCAGGTGTAGCAGCAGCAGTGGCATCAACAATAACAGTAACAGGTTGGTAATCCAGAGCTACTCCATCAAAGACAGTCTGTCTAATGCAATTTGGAGTTTGAACCCCTACATGAACAATTTTAAGGGATCACAAACTGTTAGCATGCAAAAATCACTCCAATCCCATTTATATCAACAATCATCATTAAAATAGCCAAGTAAGCAGGTTCAAGTGTCCTGAAATTTGCATTTACCTGCAATTACTAAACTCTTAATCCCCTCAGTACGAAGAAATGAATGAAGATGAGTAGCAAAGAATGCACTGAAGCGCGTCTTCACCAACTTATAATCCCCTTCTTTGATTACAAGGCCATCAACCAGTTCAGCCCCCACACTTCCCTTTGTGGTGGGACCCACTTTTCCAGGAGAGTACAAATGCCGTCGAAAAAGTTCAACATCTCTCCCTTGGGGATCATGTTCACGAACAACCTGAGGCGACAAAGTCCAAATTTGCCCAGGCTCAATGCATAGTCATAAAGAAGCATTTTGAACTTCATGTTTTCAACTAATATCAATCACTATTGGACTGAAACAATAAAATCAACAGTTATGCTAGAAAATAAACATCCCACGAATTCAAAAAACTAATAATGTCTAAATTATCTGTCATCCAGAATTAAGCAGATTACAAAATCACCCAAAACACTGAGAATGTGTCCACTTTTGACCGCCAAGCCAAGTGAATATAGCCCCTACCCAGAATTCCCCTTTCTATGAAAACAAAGCCCAAAAACACGCCAAAAGAAAAGACACCAAAATTTCCCATGAAAATAGCAAGAGGAAATTACAAACACGGGTTAGAAGAAAAATAAAATGAATTGGGCATGCGGAAGAAATAAAAAAGAGCAAAAAAAAGAAAGGTGAGACAGTACCGACCCAGACGACAAGGATGCCACGCTGCCTAGCAATATCAACAGCTTTGATCACATTTTGGACAATGGCTTTGCCTCCATTCACTGTCATCAATCCATCCTCAAGTACAAAATCATTCTACAAAAAACAAAAAAAGATTCAAAATTTCATATTATAATACTTACAAAGACAACATGAATATACATAGATATACCACACGAGATTCAGAGTGAGAGAGAAACCTGCATGTCAATGACTAAGAGAGCAGTTTGGTTCCATTTATCTGCCATGTTATGCTATAGCTAGGATGGATAAGTTTCTAGTACTTCTTCTTCGCATACTTCTTCTTCGCATATAATCTCTCTGGCTGTGGTTTTTTTATAAATAAGAACAAAAATGATTTCATCATGTTTTTTTTTTTTTCCTAACTCAAAGTAGCTTTTGTCTTTGTCTTTCCAGAAACCAAAGCTGGTATACCTGGCCTGGTGGCTAAGATCTCCTAGTTGGATCAGGCCTGCAGATTCCGGTTAGAATTTTTTTATTCTTTAATTAAAGGAAAAAAAAACCCAAAGCCCAAACGTTATAAGCCATTTGGTCCAATAGGAACTCTATTCGGTCCATAAAAAATCCTAACAGGTTGATCGGTTCAAGAATCAGGCTACGCGATTGCCCATTCTGATCCTGGTGACATATGGATGGACTCATACATGGTATTCTCTGACTCGCAGACTCCTTTGAACCCATTTACTTGTCGGGTTTTGGGTTATTATTTTTTCAGCTTGAATTAGTAGATTGCCCCGGCTGGTGGAGTAGAACAAAATTATTTTAATTAATAATTAATATTATGTATAATAAAATTATTTTAGTTTGATAGTCAATATTATATTGAAATTTTATGAAACCATACTGAATCAAATATATAAAAAAATCCACTAAAATATATAAATTTTTAATCAAAAACTTGTAGTTAATTAGTTTTTTTATGTTATTCATATTTTTCAACTAAAAAAAACATGAATCTTCCTTTTTATGCATTGGTTTTTAAATAAAAAATTGAAATAATCTAAATTAAAATTTTAATAAAAAATTCAAAAACATGTTATAAAAATATATATTTTTAAAAGTACATATATTTGATTTATGTATATTTATTTACGAAATAATCAATAATATTAATATAAAAAATATATTTGAATAATTGGATGGTTCTTATAAAAAATATTTTAATTATTTTATTTCAAAGAGATTAGGTTTATGATATTAGAAAAAAAAACAACTAACAACAAACGATTAGTATTATGCGTATAGGTGAATAGTTAATTTTTGATAAAATTGATGATTTAATTTTTTTTATATATCATGACTATACTTATTTGTTTGATAGTGTGAAGCGCATATATAAATGTATATTAAAAAATCATATTTTAAAAATTTATTTCAAAATATATAAATAGAGAAAAATAAATCAAATGTATCAACAAATAAAATTTTATCAAAAATAAAAAAATTCATTGTATGATAGTTTCCATAAAAATAAAAAATTGAATATATATATATATATATATATCATTTTTGCCAGAGTTGTGTTGAAAACATAAAAAAAAAACATTTGATCTTTCTTAATTTTTGCCTAAAAGTCCTTAAAAAAAATTGTTATAAAATAAATAAAAATGATAAGAGAATTGAAGAAAATGATGACAAGAAAATGAAATCATTATAATGTGAATATGAGTGATAAGAACTTCAAAGTTTCTCTTATTCTCTCTAGGAAACTTGTACATCAACAAATGAACAATCAAGCCTATTTATAGGCCTCAAAATTGAGATGAGAATTGGAAGGGACTATGAATAATTAAAAGTACATCAATTGCATCACCCTTTCAATTTCTTATATTGAATGGTGAATTGAATCACATTAAGGATCATGAGTAGTGGGGATATGAAAAGTAGATGGACATTCATTATTTTATAACACTTCCCCTCGAATGTCCATTGCATAAGGAATATGCCTCATTAAAACCTCACTAGGAAAAAACCCGAGTGAGAAAAAAATCCTAGTGAAGGAAAAAGAGTACAATATTCTTTGCACATATTAATCCTCATTTTTGTCTCCCCATGTTGAAGACATTATTTAAGATCTCTAAGATGATGCATTTCAATCTTGTGAATTATCTTCGGAAAAGTTATGGTAGGTAACACCTTAGTGAACAAATATGTTGAATTGTCACTTTGATGTATTCTTCCTTCAATGAAACTATGCAAGCAGCATTATCCCATATGATATTGTTGAAACTTCTTTTGCTGATAAATAAACTCGTATATCTCTCGAATATGATGGATTGTTGATCTTAGCCAAACATATTCTCGACTTACCTCGTGAATTGATATTTCGCATGATTTGAAGATGTGGCAGCTATAGTTTGCTTCATAGAATGCCATGATATAATCGTATCTTCATATGTAAATACATAACCAGTTTGAGATCGAGCTTTGTATGGATCGGTTAAATAACCCGCATCCGCATAATTAATCTTGTCTTTCATTTATTGGATTAATATCAACCCATATCAATTATTCCTCGAAGATAACGTAGTATATATTTAACTTTATTTCAATGTCTCTATATTGAAACAGAACTATGACTTGCTAACAAATTTATAGAAGAGACTATATTAAGTTGAGTATTATTAGCAAGATACGTCAATGCACCGATGGCACTAAAATATGGTACTTCGGGACCAAGTAGTTCTTCGTTATCTTCTCGATGTCAAAAAGGGTCTTTTTAGATATCAAGTGAATGAACTATCATTGGGCTAGTCAATGAATGATCTTTATATAGAATCATTGTAGAACCTTTTTCTATATAAATTGACTCGATGAATGAAAATCTCATTCTTTGAGTGCTCGAACCTGCAGTCGAGATAACATTTTGTTTTCCCAAGATATTCACATCAAATTCTCTTTTTAGGTAACTTATGACACTTGGAATCTCTTCGAGAGTTCCAATAATATTTAAGTTATCAATATATAAAACAAACCTCTTTTCAAATAAAAACATATGAACAAATAGGGTTATTTTTTATAACTTTCTTTCAAGAAATAATCATTGAAGTGATTATATCACATGCACACAGAGTTAGTAATAAACAGTAGATATAAAAATAAAATATAAAAAGTATAAATTGAATTTCTAAAAACCAAAATAATAAAACAAATACTAAAATAATCCTAATAGAGATCTCTATAATTTAATTGAATTCTTTTTTCGATAATATGTATTACATGCTTCGGCATGTCAAGTCCTTCTAGGACTTTCATACTTATTTCATTTCAAATGAACAAATAAACCGTGATCACATTCATTAAATGCATGCATATGAATGTTTTTCATATATTTTTCCAAGCTAATGAGATAACAAAAGACAATTGCATCCACTATAGGAGAATATGTCTCCTCATAGTCAATGTCAATTCTTTACGAAAACTTTTGTGTTAAAAGTTTTGCTTTATATCTTATAATCTCATCTTTTTTATTTTATTTTCACATAAATACATATTTGTATCCCACTAGCTTAACATCTTCGAGTGTTTTAGCTATGGGTTCAAAAAACTACTCTTTTATAAGAGAACATAATTTTGCCTAGATTGCTCTTTTCATTTAGGCCAATCATCTTTATGTCGATATTCTTCAATAATTTAGGCTCGGGATCCTTATTTTCATCCATAATATCAATTGTAATATTATATGTAAAAATCTTATCAATAGATGTTTTTTTCGGTCCTATTTTCTCCTTGCATTAATATAATTTATCAAAATCTCTTGATTTTTTTCAAGTATTTGTACTTGTTCTAGAAGCCTATGATCGAAATATATTGGACCGTTTTGTAAATATTTTTATCTTGCCCTTTTCTTTTAGGGATTTTTATCTTTAGAACCGATCGGTCTTCCACGCTTCGAGCATGCTTTAGATTTATTAGCTATAACATTAATAGATCGTCCTTCCGGGATATCAATTTTAATATGAGCATTCTCGACGGGGACATGCATTATAGTTACTCATTTAGGATCTAAGAATGCATCTAGCAGTCGATTTCTAATACCTTATAAATGAATTATCTTTTGAACTTTTGGTTCACATTATTTTGTATGAGATTAATATGATATAAAGATAGAGTACTCCATGTAATCTTTTTTTCAACATTTTCAACTACTTATTTTTCTCTCTCCCCTAATGTTGGAAAAACTTTTTCATCAAAATGAAAGTCAATAAATCGAGCTATAAAAATACCTCTTATTCATGAATCAAGAGATCGAAGAGGATTCAAATCCAACATATATTCTCAATCTCCTTTAAATGCTCATGTTATTTTCTTATGAAGGAGCACTAAGGATATACACTCGCAATGTCGGATGATCATAAATCAACCGAAGATGAGAGAATTTCGATAACTTATGGGTCATATGTGAATAACCGTTGCTCGCACGTAAGATTGCATGTCCCCAAACATAAACAGGGAGTTTTATTTTTAAATAATGATTTAGCTATCAATTGGAGCCTTTTGATAAATGATTTTGCTAAACCTTTTTGAGTATGAACATGAGCAACAGGATGTTCAACCTTTATTTTAATAGCCAATCAATAATAATTTAATGCTTGAGAAATAAATTCATCAACATTATCAAGGTGACTTGTTTTAATAGCATAATTTGAAAATTATGCTCGAAATCAAATTATTTGCTAGCGATCTCGAAAACGTCGGGTTTCGAGTAGATAATAAGTACATATGTGATCATTTTGTGGATGTATTTATCAACATCATAAAATATTTAAATTATCCACATGGTGGATGAATTGATCCATGTATATCACTTTTAATATATTCTAAAATACTGGAGATTCAATCTCAATTTTACTTGATGATGACTTAATCATCAATTTGCCTTGGCAACATGCAAGTACATGAAAGTTCATTAAATTGAAGAATCTTCCGGCTCTTCAATAGATATTCATATAATTTTTTAAATAATTTTTTCGCATCATGAAAGACCCAAGATAACACAACTAGTCATGTCACATAGTAAAAGTATTTGAATTAGTAAACTTCGGTTTACTATAATATTTATTTCAATCATTTCAATGTTTATAATAAAGAATCGAAGAGAAAACGGATAAATTTTTTGATAGATATTTTCTACCCGATATAATGATCATAACATATAAGTATTCACATTTGCTATCTTGATATGATATCAATTTAGATGAGTATCTTTGAAACTCAATAAATTTCT